CCCACCGGGATAATACTCCGAGATCTTTTACCGTTGTAAGTGGGTATGGCAGTCGGCTATCTTTGTCTATGCTGATTCGTTCGGATTTATCCGGGTTCAAGGGCAGGTAGTTAGATGATGCCTATGAGGATATTTCATCAAGGTCAAGTTGCAGTAAACGCTGATCGACGGGCGACGAGATCTTTCTCTACACCTTTAAATCATCGACAAAAAACGCGCACGTAGATTTCAAGTCCGCTGGCAGATCATTGATGTGAAATAAAACAGTGTTGGGCCAAGAACTGTGCCCTGTGGCATACCACTATAGGCAGTAAACCATCGTATTCGATGGTCATTGACCTGAACGCAGCACTGACGCTCGTACAGGAACCATTGAATCCAACGCAACAAGTTACCACCCACTCCGTAACCAGAAACTTTGGATGGTAGGATGCTGTGGTTCACTTTAGGAAATGCTTTGTTGCACTCCATCAGCAAGGCAACAACGTCTTATTCCTTCGCTGACTGCTTCAATCCAGCTGTGCCGTGAAGTTAGAAGGTTAGTGGTACATGATCGTCCATGCAAGGAACCATGTTGGACTACCGTGTGTTCATTGTGCAATACAGTAAAAGGAAGTGATACTCATTTGACAACATTTTTCCAGTTATTTGGCCAATATTGGTGCTAAACAAATCGGCTTATAGTTTTGTGTCTTTCTTCTATCACCACCTACAGGGAACGGTCGTACGACTGCTTATTTCCAATCTCGTTGGAAGGTCCCTAGTGCCAGCCAGGTATTAAACCATTCTGCTACTGTTAATGCAATGATAGCTGCCAAGCTTTTAAGAAGCAATGAATATAGCTCATCCCGTCTCGACGGCTTGGAGCAATTGAGATTCGGAGTTCGCCACAATCGGCCGACAATTTGGATAACTCAACTACCAATCCAAAAAGGCACCAGGCGTCTGTTTCGCCAAATGTCTTGTACTCATAATTGATTTAGATTCGTTAGCAGGTTCATAACTTCTACCGAACATGTAACCATGTGCAGTTTGACATTGACTGAATCCCACCCAAGTGCTGGAATGACTGCTTCGAAAGCTGTCTCGAAATCAGGAGCAAGTGCCAAAGCCCGGTCTACGTCGGTGGTTAATTGCTCACCGAATGCAAGTGATCTAAGCATGCGTTTAACTTATGCGAAAATTTTCTTGGATGCTTCCTTTGCAGTTGTTGACAAGCGTGTCTCGTAACGTGCACGCTTCCATAGTTTCATCAAGTTACAGCGGTTCCGTTGTGTTTTATAAGCCACGTAATCCTCTGCGCTATTAGTGTGCCTGAACGTCGTACATACTTTCGCGCGACGCCTCGATAGCACAGCATATTTCCTATGTTGGCTTCTTCCGAGACTTAATTGCTGTACTGGGTGCGAACTGTTTGAATCACTGGTTACAGTTTCGTTTTAGCACCTCCCAACACCACTCTATACCATCATTCCGGGGCAGTGACCAATCCGTTCGTTCAGTGGTAGACAGCAACCCATGTTAGTTGGTTTTCCAAATGTCACGACAGGGTAGTGGTAAAGTTCTCAAAGACGGGAAACGCAGAACGGCTGAAATGGTCGCGCGATTACTAGAACCAATAGGTTCAAGCACTCTTACGGATTCTAGTGGCTGCTTGCCGTTTGTAAAAAGAAGATTAAGGCAACTTGCCGGTTGCCCAGAAAGTTGTCTTGTTGGTTGTCGGATGTGTTGCCCAGCACTCATTTATGTCCTCATGTTAACAAACTGGATTCAAGGACGCTATTGCCATGTAAGATACTATATTGTAGCCAACCAACATGCAGAAAATTAACGTCGCCCAGCAGCAGGAAATTGCGACAGTTCAGACGATCCTGCACAACGTCGATCCAATCATAAAAGGTAGTCGCCGGGCTCCGATGGACCGCAGTCATGATCATTTTATTCGGTCCAACAGTTACTCGGCACCAAAGTTGTTCGTACAGACGGTCATTACTGTTGTGCGTGAACATTGGCTTCCCTCGCATGCTGGATTTGATGTATAGCAGCACGCCTCCATGAGCGCCTTTGGGTATTTCACACCGAAACGCTGTGTATCCATGGAATGTGAATGTCGGGGTCAGTAATTTCAGCTTGTAGCCATGTTTCAGTCAAACAAAATATGTCTGGACAATCTTGTTCTACCCAGAGTAGCGCCTCATCAAATTTGCTAGTAAGACTGCGAACGTATGTAAGTTCTACAATAAGCCCAGCAACTAAGTTGGGCCATGCGCCACCATTAGTAACGGTCTGGATATTAGTTGGCGCTTTGCACTGCACGAAAATTAACGGTCTGTAAATTGCTCACACCTTGTTGGGTCCGTCGTTTAAGAATAATGGCTGTAGTCAGAAGGCAGTTTCGTCCTTCCAGAGTGAGGTCGACGCCCACGTGAATTCTCAGACCTTTGCGGAGAGACCGACACAACAGCGCCCACGGCACACAGGAGGTCCGAGCACAGCACCAGTGAAACTTCTGTTCACGAACGCTCAATAATGCCATGCAACATGACTGAAATACATAGACCAAAAAACGATTAATGGCCGGCCACCTAAAGGCCGGCTCAAAAACTAACACAAACTTGACATCTATCAATGAACTCCTAACAACAAAAGCCCTATCTTGCATGTACACAAACGCCCAAGGCCTTCTAAGCAAGTTGGTCGAACTTAGAGAACTCCATGCCTCACAACCGCGGGACCTCGTCATGGTTACAGAGACATGGTTACACACTGAGATAACCGACTCTGAGATCAATTTACCCGGTATGTCGCTGTTTCGGACGGGTAGAACCGGACGGAGTGGCGGTGTGATTCTTTACCATAAGACAAACCTCCGATGTGAAGTTATCGATCACCCGGAAATCCGAGTTCACGATTCGCTTTGGTGCCGCCTACGGTTGCGAAACAAGGACACATGTCTACTAGTCGGAAATGGACTCCAAACTGCACCACGTTTTTCAGTTTGCTTTGAACAAGTTCTACACCCACATCCTTATCACTAGGGCCTTTAACGTTCACGACATGGAAACGCCGGCAACCGGCGGTATGCAGTTTAAAGCCTGCTTGCAAGAACGAATTGTTAGCTACCCACTGTGCAACCACGTAACCATTCCCACCAGATTTCGAATTGCTAACAAGCCGTCGATACTGGATCTTGTGCTAACTAACGAAGAACTCGTGGTTGACGGGATAGTTACAAGCACACCACTGGGTCGTAGTGATCATGTTACTCTACTCTTTGATTATATATGCTATGCGGAGTACCCTGAGAAGGAGGAGGATAAAGTGCATACTGTCACGCACTACAATATCTCATCTATGCTTGTTAAGGATACATCTTGGACTTTCTTAACCGAACGCCCCCCAGGTGTTGCCTGGGAAACATTTACATGGACATTTGGCACACTGGTTGCGCACGCATCGGAACAGAAGTCCTTCCAACCCATAAACAAGCATAAGTCATTTCTGAGGAGCAGAACACGTAAATGTCTGTCCCGGAGGCATTCGGCATGGCGAAATCACCAGGACTGCTTGAATGCCGAAACCTGGACTGCATACGTGACACATCGCAATTTCCGTATGAAACTGATCCGCGAAGAATAGGTCACTCAACAACAGAAGTTAATGAAGCGATTCTGAAAGAACCGCAAACTCCTGTACAGGCACCTTAACGGCCTTCGAAAGGTGAAGCGGGGGTTCCAGCGCTAGTCACGGCTGATGGGTGCACGCGATCAGCAATGGAAGCAGCTGATCCCCTACGGCTTCATTACTCCTGAACTTTCCAACAGGTGAGAAGCCTAAACATTCTCCTCATTACTAATAGTCCACCATCTGGTTTAGAAAACATCACCCTCACTGCGGAAGCTGTGTTGAAGAAGTTGTTATCCTTGAGTATCCACAGTTCTCCCGGAGCTGACAACATCCTACCAAAAGCTTTGCAGGCGGTAGCTAGTGATCTAGCAACACCACTGGCTGTTTTCTTTTAGCGATGTCTAGAAGAGAACCGTATTCCACCAGTATGGAAGCAAGGGGGTCATCACTCCTATCCATAAAGGAGGTAGCTGCACTGATCCTGCCAACTACCGTCCAATAACTACTTCCCGTACTATCCAAAGTGATGGAATCAATCATCGCAGATGCGCTGGAACGCATTACCAGACTCAGTTGTCTCCTATCCTACCTTGGACGTTTTCAAAAACGATTAGATGTTGCTCTCAGCTCCCATCATTTCGTTACCTAAACTCCTCTATTGTGGATTATTCCAAGCATGTCTTCAACAGGATTTATGCATCAAATAAACCTAAATGAGCGTCCATATTTTACTTTTCTCACTCCTTACATCACCCCCAGTGTCTTTTTGAACGTTTACGCTCGATAATTATTTTTACGTTTTACGCTGATGTTAATTATCAAACTGTTCATCTCGACAGACGTTTGGTAGATGACCCAGATTATTTTGATTTCATCATATTCACCTCAACCATCCTACGGAACGTGTCAAGCACTTGCTTGTATCCCGTGATAAATCATTGTTCATTGTTTATTGTTCAATCACAACGAGCTCGACATGACTAGAAGCCCACTGATGATGGTCACCGAGTAAGTGGGAACTTGAGAATCCTGGTGAACCACAAGAGAAACTGACAAAGTCTTCTGACAAGCGTTATTAAAACACACACAAAGCCTTTCAAGAGTACAAAGTTCGAACGGCGAAACATGGTAATCACGCCGCAATTGCATATAATCAATTGGACTGAAATTTCGCACGAGTCAAGGATTCCCTGCAAACTTCGGTACGTTCAGGGAGGAAAAAGAGCACCTATGCTGTATGTATACATATTAGTATTGCAACCAAGCCGTCACGGACTTAAGCTGTCCTTGTGATGCAACGCTGTCGGCCCACTTGCTCCACCAGTCAGATGACGGTGGGGTGGTCATGGGCGATCGATACTAGTGTAACATTCAATTAGCCGCTGACATCGCTGAACGGTGCACCAGTCTCCTGGGAGAAACGAAAAATGGTAAGGTAAAGGGCATTTTTAATCCTTTCATATGTTTGCTCATAGCGTGAGTGTATCAGTTTGCATATTGGACAATCAGGAGTACAAATCGGCAATGCATGCTGGGAATTGTATTGCCTGGAACATGGACTTAAGCCAGATGGACATTTGCCCAACGAGTATAACACGTTGGGTGTGCACGACGAATCGTTTCAAACATTTTTCGCTGAATCCAGAACGGGAAAATTTGTTCCACGTTCCGTGTACATAGATTTAGAGCCAACAGTGGTTGACGAAGTGAGATGTGGAGCATATCGTGGTCTGTTCCATCCGTCAACCCTTATCACCGGCCGGGAGGACGCGGCTAATAATTATGCACGCGGTCACTACAACCTGGGGGTGGAGCTCATTGATACGGTGCTAGATCGAATTCGAAAATTGGCTAACGCGTGCGAAGGGTTGAGAGCGCTCCTCATCTTTCACTCTTTTGGAGGTGGAACCGGGTCCGGATTTACTTCCTTGTTAATGGAGCGCGTGTGTGTGGATTATGGAAAGATTTCCAAACTAGAATTTGCTATACATCCATCACCAAACATTTCTACCGCTGTGGTAGAGCCGTACAACGCAATCCTGAACACGCACACAACACTGGAACTCTCCGACTGTGTGTTCATGATGGACAACGAGGCAATTTACGATGTCCTCAGGTAGGTGCTCAGTTTCATTCCACTTAATTTCCTTCTGATTTCTTTTTACCTAGGAGGAGAATGGATGTCTTTCGGCCCAGTTATACCAATGTAAATCGTCTATTGGTTCAAGTCATCAGTTCTATCACCGCCGCGTTACGATTTGACGGCCCAATGAATGTGGATATCATGGAGTTTCAAACCAATCTGGTACCCTATCCCCGAATTCATTATCCTCTTGCTGTATACGCACCTACAGTCTCCGCAGAGACTGCCTATCATGAACCTATGAATGTGTCCGATATCACAGATGCGTGCTTCGATCCATCCAACCAATTCATTCAGTGTGATCCCCGACGTGGAAAGTACATGTCCTGTTGCTTACTCTATCGAGGCGATATAACTCCTAAAGATATCAACCTGGCCGTTGCAAACATCAAGGCTCGACATACAGTCCAGTTTGTGGATTGGTGTCCAACAGGATTTAAAGTTGGCATCAATTATCAGAAGCCAACAGTGGTCCCAGGTGGGGATTTGGCCAAAGTTGCACGTGCAGTGTGTATGCTAGGTAATACCACCGCTATAGCGGATTGCTGGAGCCGATTGAACTACAAATTTGACCTAATGTTCGCCAAGCGAGCTTTTGTACATTGGTTTGTGAGCGAAGGAATGGAAGAAGGAGAATTCTCAGATGCACGGGAAAATCTAGCCGCCCTGGAACAAGATTACGAAGAGGTTGGCTTTGACACTTACATTGCGGAAAAGGAGAGTACTGAGCCGTAGTGATAATTGTCGATCCGTTTGTCCAGCATCATTGTACAGAACCAACGTGAGTCTCATGCTGGCACGTGTGATATATAGAAAACATTCGCAACCCGGAGACTACTGAACAGTTGGTGCACAAATCTTTCATGTGAGCCTCAGTTAACTCACATTCGTACACACCCCACACACACGATGGGCAGGGTGTGGCCTGCGTGGGTGGGTGCGACTACGACTTCCCTGAAAAGGCAAGTAAACTGCCAAAGTGTAAACTTTTCGGGACCACCACTGCTACGCTCGTGAGCGTAAATGAAGCGGTTCGCGTGTGAACCGCCACTAACTGTCCTTGCTTCTACGACTGATCGTAATTGGAACAGCTGAAATGCTGTTTTGCATCGCCGTGTTACGGAGACTGTTGTTCGCCGTAATCAAACCAGCTGAATGGTTGTACACTCCTATTACACATTTTGCGGTGTAATAGATGCACATCGATTGCTGTCACTACATTTTTTCGGTTTAGCAGACGTCTGCCGGTGGCCGAGTGGACTGCACGCCTGGCTTGCTAATCGTAAGGTCACCAGCTGGAATCTGCGCAGGGGCGGACGACCACCACCGGTCGCGCGGTAGCGTAGGCCGGTAGGGCGTACAGCTGACAATTCACTCTTCTTCATTCAGTTCAGCAGATATGTGGGATTTCAAGTCGACTTCTGGTAAACGATACACATAAGCCCTAGCGGCATTCTACAGAAGGCACTCTCCTTCTAGAGTTTGAAAAATGGTGTCATAAAAACGTCGGCAAGTCTAAAAGTGGCTTCGCTGTCACGCGACTTCCAGCAGTTGAGCGCAGGTGACGGATACTATGAGGTACCCGTACATTCGCAGACTTGAACCAGCAACTCTTGGATTACAAACTCGGTGCTACACGCGCTTGGCTATCTACCGCACCTAGCTACATTATTCTCCGGAATCAGATGTGTCTGCAAAGATGTGCATTCAACAGCGCACTTTGTCAGACACCTCTCCGTGATTATGCCACTTAGAACCATGCGTTATTACGACTTACCCATCTACAGTAAGAAAACCCTGTCGAATCAAATTACAATCCTACTGTGTGCAAGGTCGACACATCAAGCAGACAGAAACGGGTGTGCTCGAAGATGGTCGAGACAACCGTCATTCGGTTAACCCTCCCAGTCCTCTGGGACCTACAGGAATGTGACAATCATTCAGGTCTTAGACATTAGTCTTAAATACTTATGGTTAAAGTGAAGATTCCAATTTTGAGGGAAGTTTCACCATAGTGTCAGTAAAGCATTATATTGGGTTAAATTGCTGTCAGTAACAGATTCGATGTTGCGCGCAGGGGTCATGATGACTCGGACACCGTGCACCAGTTGATGCTTAACGAGGAACTCCTCTGGCTTCTTGTGCGGTAGATCGCTTTCAGTTGTGGTTCTGTTAGCTTCATACACATGTACTTTCTCGTGCTCTGTTTGCGCCAGCTAATCCACGACCAGTTAGTTAACTTGGGTAATCCAATTGGGTCTGAGGTTCAAAATATTTTAATCTCACCGTTGCTCCGAGCTCTCATATCCCGCAGGTTAATAGTGTTCACTCTAACCCACCGGGTCTTGTTCTCTAACAGTGGAATGACCTGAACACAGCTCCTAGTGTCGAACTAACAGCGGAGAAAGAGTTGGGAACAGCGGTCCTAGTACTCATGTTGAAAACCGAATCCCCATTTCACCAAAATGATGGAACAATGGATGACGTAATAATTTTACTAATTAATACTGATTTAAGTGAGTAGTTGAGTTTGTCGCAACTAACATACAAGTCATATAGCTTAACTAGCATTCTGGAAAAAGAACAGACGGCCGTTTCATCCTCTCGGGATTCGTCAGTGGTGCGTATTCCCTCGGTCCCTTTCAGGGAACGGGACCCATGACCGCTTGTGACTTGTATCACATGCTAGGAGCTTATGCCCCTGAGCCATGGGGAACCTAGCGGACCATCATGGACTTACCATTGTTTTCTGCACGGGCAGTAACCTGCATGACGGTGGTGGATGGGTCAGGCTATTTGGCAGTTAGATTTCAGTACATGATGGTCAGCGATTGTCCCCCATGACTTAGGAGCTTAAGTCAAGTCAATTCAACAAAGTGCTTATGCCCTCACAGCGGATGAATATTCAGCCAAAATGCACACGCTTTCAGTAATGCATCACGACATAAATGCAGTTCAAAAAGGCGAAATACTAAGTGAAAAAGCAAATTTATCATATCGTAAATCGGTTAGCTAATTCTTGGGCAACTCTGTTTTGGTCTAGCAAAATCCCGCTAGGTAAGAGATAACTGACGAACAGTACCCTCGTATTCGGGCATATATGAAGTTATAGTTCTGTCTGGTTGACAAGATTCTCACACATTCTGACAAGAAACAATAAAGTGGGTGTAGGCAAGTATCATTGACGCTAGTCTCATGCAAAAGCCAATATGAGTGGATTTAAGTGTATCGGCCAAAGTTAAATTTGATGCACCACTGCACAAAACAAAGGTTTTAACCACCTTTGCTAACAAAGCTGGTGGAATCGGCCATAGCTCAAGGCCGTAGTGGGCTACTTTGATAGGTCTAACATCATGGCACCGGAGCAACACGGATTCCGTACGCATCGGTCATGTACTACCAAGCTACTAATTGCTCTTGGCAGTTGGACCGAGATAGCCGACGGTGGGATTGACATTAATGTCATCTACCTAGACTTTTCTAAAGCATTCAACCGCATAGAACACCTCATCCTTCTCCAAAAGCTGCAAGCGTACGGAGTTGGAAACCATGTCCTTGGATAGATCGGAAACTTCCTTTTTCAGCGGCGCCTTCAGGTTCGTGTTCGAGCTTCATTTTCTGATCCAATTGATGTGGACTGCGGTGTTCCACAAGGGTCAGTGTTTGGGTCGCGTTCTCTTTGTTCTTCATTAAGGACCTCAAGAGTGTCATCAAGTCAAATTTCCTGCTTTTTGCCGATGACATCAAGGTATGGCTGGATATCGACTGTCAAGAAGATCACGATGTGTTGCAACGAGATTTAGACTGCGCTTCTGGATTGTCAAAGATAAATCTACCTCCGTTTAACACGGACAAGTGCAAACCTGTGCATGTCCGCCACAAGCCCGCGTACACATATAAGCTTGGAGACGATATGTTGAAACCCGCCTCACAAAAGCAAGACTTTGGGTGGTGATGCAAGATGATCTCGGTTGTTCGGCGCAGCACTTGAAGGTGCCCAAAACTGCGAACCAACATGTTGGACTGTTACGGAGTGCGTTCGGGAAGTTCGATCTCTCCATCTTCCCCCGGATGCTCAATGCATATGTGAGGCCCCATGTAGAGTGCACGATCCAGGCTTGGCAACCCTGATTAGAACGTCATCTGGCTGCGCTGGACATCTTCCAGGGAAGGGTACTGAAAAATGTGAAGGGGTTGTCCCACCTGCAATGCCGTAGGCAACTGAGAGCCCCGGGGGTTCATAGCGATAGATACTGCAATCTACGTGGTTACCTCATCCTAATGTTCCAGACCTTGTTAAACGCCGATCATGCATACCGCCACCTCCTGAAACTTAGCGGCAACACGGAATTGAGGGGTCATAAATTGAAACTTGACACGCAATGCAGTCGGGTGGAATGCCGCCGGAATCACTTTTCCATTCGAGTTGGTCAACCGTAGAACGCTCTTTCGACATTTGTCATTTCAGCGCTCACGCTACCCGTTTTCAAAAAAACGACTCGACGATGCTTTACACCACCTACATTACTTGAGCTGATTTCTATTCATTGAGTGACGACATGGCACAGGTAAGCATTGTGCTCGTCAACCCCACGTACTCGGGACAGACGGATATACTTTTGTGTTAACGTGGATATTATGGTGAGTCCACAGATGTGTTTCTCACTTTTGTCTAACTTCTCTGAACTAACCTTATTCCCACAAACCATCCCACGGGAACTGTCATACCATGTTTTTTAACCGCATTATGCTATTGTTATATTGTATCATTTTTCCTGGCGTATTGGATCAGCGGATATCATGAGAGTTTCCTTCCTCGGTCGTCGTACGTATAGTGGCACCTCGTTCGTATCACTTATCAATGGTACACTTGTAGCGATGTGTTGCGAACGCGGATACTAAACAGCTACATACAGCTCGACTAATCGAATGAAAAAAGAAAACATAATAGGTCGCATTTTAGTTGATAAGTAATTACTAGGTTAGACTGCTGCTTGCTGCAGACTGCTTTGCTTTGTTAAACAAGGGAGTGATGGTTTAAGGTTGGAAAGGAACAATTGATAGGACTGCAGTGAAAACTTAGAATTCTGACAATTAGATTGGGCACATTTACAATTTCCTCCCAACCGAAATGCTTGCTTGAATTATGTCTGATGCCGATAAGTTGACAACGAAGCGGATCAGTAGACCACAAGGAAGCGGTCTCACTAACATCACTTTACACAAGAGTAGTAGGTGGAGTTGAATGGTATAGGTAGCAATTCATCACAACTAGATTCAATCAGACAGACGTCACACGCCCGGAAAAATACAGCACGGCTGTTTCATCATTTCGGAAATCGTCAGCATTGCGCATTGCATCGGACCATCGCATGGTTCGAACCCACAACTCGGCTGTTGCCATCCTGCCGTTTAGACTACCATGATGGTCCGCTGGAGTGCGCAATGCTGACGATTCTCCAAAAGAGGAAACGGCCGTGCAGTGCTTTTCTAGGCGCGTGAACTCTGTCTGACTGGGTATAGATGTGCTGACTTGTTACCTATAACTTTCTACTCCCAGTACTACTCTTATGGCATCAGTACGCAAACCAAACTATTTATAATGTCACAAGTTAATTAGTGGATTAAGTTTGGTAAGTACGCCGCTTGACGAGGGGGTTACCCCGTCCTTTGTACGGCAGTAATGTGCAAGTGATTGGATAGTGAGCTGCGCTATATCACATATGGTAACTTAGTCACAACAGTCGTTGCCATCCCCGTAGCTCAGTGGTCTCAACCACAGACACTGCCAACAGTGGAGTTCGCGCCACGCACTTGATCACCGTCTGGCCCTTACAATTTAGGAGTTTGCATCGCTGCCGTGTGCTAGCAACCACTGGCAAGTGACCCACAGCGTCTGAGCGGACTTCCAGTGATGGGAATTGCTTAGCTGGACCTCGGCGTTGCTCCAAGTTGAACTCCCTTTCAATTGATGGTGAAGGCCGCCTCCTCTCCCTCTTCGACATGTCTTTGTCTTGCATGATGAGTAACTCAGCAACGGAAAATCAGAAAGCAAGCCAGTTCTTCTGTTTCTGTAGAGGTACAGCCAGCGAGTCGCAATCACATCGATGGAGTAGCCAGCTTTTTTGCTACCACCATGTCGATAAAATGGAAAAAACTTGTAGTAGTATGTTCTGGACCTAATATAAATCCGATAATATGTAATCAATGCATC